CCATTCCCTTCTCTCCCTTTCCCAGCTCCAGGAAAATCCTCACCTTTCCAACCCTCCCCAACCCCTCCCTCCGAGCGGTGCCAGAGCCGCTTTTTCCCCCCTCCCGCTGCATCCTCAGGTTTCAGGGACCATCTGCTGCTGGGATGGAACAATTCCGCAGATGGGAAAAAGAGGGGATGAAATAAACACCRGGAGCTGGGAATAAATGAAACCTCATTTAGGGCGATGTCCCACCGGCTATGAATAAAAACGGAACAGCAAAAATCTGCCAGGGTGGTAAACACTGTGTTCCCTGGAGTGTTTTCCTGGTGGGATTTGCTGGAAGGATAAAGGGATCCTAAAAATGGGAAGTGTGGGGTGCGGGGCCTGTTGTTTTTGTTGGAGTTTATGAGATCGGGATGGCTTGATCCCTTAATTCCTGGGCAAATCCCAGCTCATGGAGGCGCACGCCSAAACGCTAATCCCGGGATTCTCACTTCCCCGGGAGGCGCCCAAGATCTCCCAGCTCGGATTTCCAGGCTGGAGCCCGGCAAATTCCCGCTGGGAGCGATTTATCCCTGATGTGAGCCGGGATTTGGGCTCAGACCAATCCCGAGGAATTCCTGCCTGCGGGACCGGGAKCTTATTCCGGGTGTTTAGCATGTTCCTAAATCCCTGCATTTCCCCCAAATAAYTCCAGAGGGGCTCGGGATCCAGGGAATTCCCGGGGGATTGGAGCGGACGGATTTGYGTTTTGCGGGATAACGGGGCCGCTCTCCGTGGTGCTGCAGAGCCTCCGACAGCTCCAAACCCGTTTATTCCGTCCTCATTTTCCCCCCAACTCCCTCACCCAGCAGGAATTTATTCCAGGCCGAATTCCATCTTTTTCAATKCCCAGAATTCCGCAGGAAAATCTGATCCTGAAACCTTTTATTCCTCCTCCATTTCCATCTTGAAACATCCCAAACTTTTCCACTTTTAAACAAGTCTGAAACTTATAATTGCTTCCAGCGAGTCATTCSCAGATTGAATTGTTCCCTWAAAATCGTGGATTGTGTGGCTGAGRCGCCAACCATCAACACTGAAACCCTTTTTTTTTTCACACGGGGTTTGAATAAATCCATTCAAATCCCGACAATTCTGGATTTCCAGCGTCTCGCAGGTGGTTCTTCCAAACAAAGCCGAGCTGAAACTCGTGAAAAATCCCATTATTTTTTTAATTCCTTCTTTTCAGTGCCTCAGAAACCTGGTGAAATTCATGGAAATACATTTTCTACCGTGCCAGAATAAAATTAAGGAAATAATTGAATAAAATTAAGGAAAGGGTCTGGAAAGGGGGTCCCAGAATTCCACGGATGCAAAGGACTCCTGCATTCCTGCTTTTCTCCTCAGGAATGGCAAATGTTCGGCTGGAAAATCCCATAATTTCCCCCTTTTCTGAAGGARTTTGGGCTGAGTGGAAGAAATATTCAGGGGGAAAATAGAAGGTTGTTTTTATGAGGGAATGGAATGGATTTCAGGGAATTTTCTCCCCAGCTTCCAACCAAAAGGGAAATGAAAGCAGGGAAAAGCCACCGAAATCCTGTGTGATTTTGRAGAGATCATTTAATTTTTCCCTGGGCTTTGTTTCCCACCGTCAAAGAGAAGAAAACSTCACAAAACCCCGGGAATTGAATGGAAATAATCCCATGGAAATAATCCTGAAGGATGGTCAGATTGGGAAAAAACAGGAGCTATGGAGGCTTCTGAATATTCCAAATTTAAATTCCAGAAAATAAAGTAAAAATGAGTTCTGTCTCGGTGTAAACCCGGGAAAAGAGGCAGGAATTCTGCTCGTTCTTGTCCCGATTYCCAGGAAATTACTGATCCCAAAGCCGCAGCTCCAAGATTCTCCCGGTTCTGGAGAAATCAGGGATTAGCGAGGCAAAGCGRGAGCGTGGGGGAGAAAAATTCCCGTAATAAATCCCGGGCCACCTGCTGGAATGATCTGCCAAAGCTTGCAAACACAGCGGTATTTAAGGAAAACACCAGAAATCCCTGCCCTGGCWGCGTGGGAATCCTGGGGAAAGCTGGCAGCGCCTTCCTGCCGTTTGTACCAGGGAGGGAATTCGGGAATCTGTTAAAAAACAGCCCAAAAATGAAATGATCAACTGTGATTCCTCCAGAAAGTGCTGGGATGGGACAGGAACAGAGGAGAAGAGAAATTCCTGGGATAAATTACAGATCTCTCA